GATAAAGCAGAATTCTCCTCCCTGCTCTGTGTGGCGGCTGCAAAGCGGCTCGACGCATTTAATGGAATGTTGTTTCTCACAGTTCAAAATTGACAAATCTAGAATAAATCTCATCTTTCCAGTTTGTTGGGACCAGGGAGTGATGAGAGAGGAACCCTGTGTTTTCCTCTCCTTCTGAGACCCTGGAAATTACATTTTAATCAGGATTTCCTGAGCTTCTGTGAGAGGGGACGAGATCTGTTCTAGAAGTGACAGAAAACGTCACTAGAGTTCCTCCGCACCGGGGTTTGAGCTGTACTGCAGCGTGAATCCCCTGCTAATAACGGTTCATCTATCCGTCTGGAGCACGAGCTCGTTGCCACTCATTTATAAAGTTTATAAAGCGGGTACGCGATTATGCTGTGGGCTCACATGCATGCTGATGTGAGCTGGTGCGCGCTTAAGGAGAAAAAAAAAACGCGCGCCCCCGAGCATGCAGGCTGTGTGCGGGCTGCCGATGCTGCGGGACGTGGCTCCTCTGCGCTGTGCTCACGTTGGGGAAAGATGCACGGCCCAGAGCATGCGGAACCGGTTAGGGTGCTGCAGGTGCAGGGCTCAAGCTGCGGCTCATATCCGTGCTGCTTCTCCGCGTAACGCTCGGGTAGCGGGTGCACGTACGTGGTGCGTAATGTCTCCGTGCCGTGAGCCGACATGCACTGAAGAGTCGTGTGTGTGTGCGCCCTCGTTGACGCGACGTCTTAGGCGAGGATTGTCGTGGGGCCACGCATTTGACGCTGGTGCGGTCAGGAAACAATGCGCGGCGTCAGTTGAGGGCGAGGTTACCACTGGGCTCGGTCTGCAGAACACGTTCATTCTTGGCTGCGAATCATGTGAGCTTTTGAGTGATTCATCGAGCTGCAGTGTTAATTCAGAAAACCTTCTTCGAGGATGAAGAAGCGGAGCCGCTGTGAGGCGTGTGAAAACTGTTGATGCCACAGGAACGCGCGTTTGACACCACTGCGGTGAAATGCGTGTATCTCCTGCCGAGAGCGAGATACGTTACTGGGCTCGTACCGCGATCTCACGTTTATGTTGACGTGAGCGGCGGGCGCTGAGAGCTGCGTGCGCGCTCTTATAACGCAGCGCTGTATAGGTGAAGGCTGCTCGTGCTGCGGGAGCGCGCGTTGTCACCGCCGGCAGTGATTGAACCAACCTTAAAAGGCCACCGGCTCATTCATGTGGAGTGTATGTGACGGAGCCGCTGTCAGGTCATCCGAGCTGACAGACTGGCTAAAAGACACTTCATCATAAAATGATGTTTTATTCCCACATTGTGTCATCTTTACACACATCCAACAAACCGACATACGGTCATCTTCCCCTGAGCTCAGTGGTTTGTTGTCCTAGGGAGCCCTCTGTTGGCGATCTCTGGGAAAAGTTGAACTTCCGGATGCCGGGGACATCTGATGAGAGGGGCTGGCGTAGCAGAACTGGGAAGGCGTTGTACAGCCGTGGAACATCTTGAAAGTGATCTCTCGTTGATGAGGGCTCTCCAACAAAAAGCTTTCTGTAGCTCCCCCGAGAGGGAGGTGGAGTGACAAGCCAGGAGAACCTCTAAAACCTCGTCCTCCGGCTGTGATGCGGGTCAGCAGACAGCAAAGGCGGCGCACCGGTTGAGGATGATGTCAGCTGCCCTGCAGAAGGAGCATACGTCTCCTTCCGCCTCTGAACTTGTACACCAACAGCGTAACGTGTTGTTCGCTGCGGCCGTCTGGAAACGCATGCTGGTGAGCTCAGTTGGAGAGCGGTGTTACCATCTGGATTATGCTAACTGGAGGCGTGGGACGCTGGTCCAACCTGGACATCTTGCTCTGAGAAAATCCTCCGTCAGGCTTGGCTCCCGGTGGCACTGAGGGGATTTCCGCTCTGTGAAACCCATCCACTCTGGTGATGGGCGCGGATGTGGGAACCTGCGCCCTATTCTACCAGGACCGGCTGCAGCCTTGTCCCAGAAGGACGTCACCGATGGGAAGGCGAGGCCAGAGATCAAGATGAAGAGCCGGAGTGGAGCCCAGAAACCTTCCCGCTGGATCATCCGAAAACTGGCGGGAAAGGCGCGGGACGTAAAAAAGGTCCGTTCATGTCAGCCGCCTCCTGGGTTAAGCCGGGCAACTCCAGAGGGTGCCGTCAGCTGGGAGCGGTGTGATTGCCGATGCGAAACGAGGTGGGATGGGGTGAGCATTCGCTCAGCCCCCCTCCACCGACACTACGCTCTCCAGGAGGGAATGAGCAGCGGGGGCTGCTGCTGACGTCGCCTGTCCCGGAGGAACCATCCGATTCGCTCCAAGGTCAGCGATAAGAGGAAAATTACAAGATGGCATTGTCCAGCGTGTAGCGACCTGTCACTGAGAAATACTCCTCGGCACTTACCTTGAAACAAGACTGCTCGTCAGCTTCTCCTCGGGGAGGAGAGCTCACCGGGACGACCGGAGGTCGACGTGACGGGCCAAGCATTCTTAACAAAGGTTGGTCATCTACACAACTTTCCTTCTTCGTTCTTCTGACAGTGCTATTAGCTCGCTGAAGAAAAATGGGGGAGCCGATTACCCACTCTTAACGTAATTTATACGGACCGGGTGGGGCCCACACAGCAGGTGGGCATGGACTAAATTTTTCAGTGTAATGCTCCGCATAACCGGATAAAACCCACTAAGCGACAGCCCTAAAGGGCGAAGCCTATATGAAATAGAACCTACAGTTTCCTCAGGTGGATTGTGGAATGGCTTGATGTTTCAATTTGCCTTTTTTATGTCACTGGTAAAAGGAAAATTTATTCTCCCCCCCTTTAGCCTTTAGTTTTTTTCCATCCATCCTCTTTATTTGCTTCTTCCTTTTTGGGTCATGGGGGTCACTGGTGCCCATGTCCAGCAATCACTGTGCGAGAGGCAGGGGACACCTGGACAGGTCTCCAGTCCATCACAGGGACACATAGAGACAAACGAGACAAACAACCATTCACTCTCTCACTCACACCTAGGGACAATTTAGAGTTACCAATCAGCCTAACATGCATGTTTTTGGTCTGTGGGAGGAAACCGGAGTACCCGAAGAAAACCCATGCATGCACAGAGAGAATGTGCAAACTCCACCCAGAAAGGTCCCCAGCCGGCAGCTCTATCAACTGTGCCTCTGTGCTGCTCCCTTTATTCTTTTTGATTGGACATAAATGTGTAAAGAGAAAAAAAAAACTACACTGTAGTTTCAAATCAAGGGTTTCCTAAATGGAATACATGATTTATTTTGCCAGTTTTCATGCAATTTGTGCCAGTATGAAGCTCAGAATCTCATAATTTCTACAGTTTATTGTAATAAATTCATGAACCACTCAGGCCTCTTTCAGCAGTGAATACTTTTTTGTGGGGTCCTTGCACCTTTTGGGTTGAAATGAAAAAGTTATTCAAATCGGTAGAGAAACATTTTTATCAAAAATTCAACACAACACACACAGAAACTCCTGTAGGTTGTTGTGACCTAAGGTCCGAAAATATTCTTTTAAAAGATAGTTCACAAAAACAGAGAAGTGGCGATGAGAAATAAGCTGAGAATAAAGTAACATATTTTTAACAGATTCATTTTATGTGCTGCCCTTTCCTAAACAGCAGCACATTACTGAACAAATCAAAGCTGTAGTGTTCAACTTGTTTTGTGTTTTATATGGATGATTACTGACTCAGATATCTGAGTGCAAAAAACTATATATATCAAAAGGAGTGTGAGGTAAATATTGTGTTTAATAAACAAATATCAGTCAGGGAACTGACATTAGTCTGGGGACTGAGAATGGGGCAAATATAAAGCACAATGCACTTGTGTAGAGGTGTCGGGGACATATTTACCTGTTACACAAGGTGCTTCCTGTGTAAGGAGCAGGAAGCTCTATATAACATACAGATCAGGATCCAAGTCTACGGTACAAAAAACCTTAGCAGCAACATGTTAACATCAGGGACCAAGGGGCTAACAGAGCAGTTTCCTTTAGAAAAAGTCACAGTATTATTTAAATTTGTTAAAAAGGTAAAAAGAGCTCTATGCATTTGCTATAGGGTCAATGCTACTCACAGGATCTGTGTGTGAAATACGTAGGGAAAACTATACATTTATACTCTAATATAAAGACCTTCTGGTAATGGCACAGTACAAACTCTCAGAAACACGACAAAAATATACAATGTCTTCACGTCACATTTGCAGATTAAAATGTAACTAAGGTCTCTGGCAAGAACAACAGTCTCAGTGATCAAAAAGAAACAAACAAAACCTTCTTTTACACCAAAATAAAGAACAGCATTTTTGTTAGTTTAGCTATCTCGACAGCAAATGTCTTTTTAATACAAAAATAAGAACAAATATAAATTAATATATATTAAAACTGATACATGGGGGATCTATTGAATAAGTACAGGTATTTATGATACAATAAATACTTGTCATAAACGGGGAGCGGTGGATTGAACTCTGCAGGTGAGAGTGTTTGTTGTTCAGTAGCAGTAAGAAGAGTCGCCGCATGTGCACAATCATGCACATGGTCACAGAGGATGGATGAGGCCTGCAGATTGCAGTGGTGATTCAGGAGATTATTGCTGCTCCACACCCTCCCATGCTTTAATGCAGCTCCTCCTGGTGGCGATACTGTGGTACTACCAGTTAAAGTTATTCACACACACAACCCACGACAGGAAGCAGGAAGTCTACAGGAAGTGGTCATCCATCAGTGACAGGTCCGGGCAAGAGAAAGTGTGGCACGGCATAAGAGTCGTCACGACCAAAAAAAGGAAGCAAAGGTAAGGGCAGTTTTATTTTTTTGTCTTTTTCCTCACTTCGTAATAAAAAATAAGTCTGTTTTTGAACTTTACAATACAATTCAGGATTCCCACCAAGGAAGCATTAGTCATCAGTCCACCGCTGACAAGAAAATAAACTTTTTGTTGTTTCTTTTGTTTTTTATGTTTTTTTCTTCCACTTTTTTAAAATGATTTTTAATAAAAACAGGGTTGGTGGTAATACTCTCAGGAGGTTGGGTGGAGAGTTTCCTCGTGGCGAACAAGAAGGATCAAGTAAGGCGGGCGGGAACACAGAACATATCCGGAGAGGCAGAAATCTGTTGAGGGTGCTGTCTTTTTTTATTCTCTTTTTACGAAGAACACTTTGTACAGCCGCACTTGACAACTTTTTCCACTTCCTGGACAAAAGAAGAGCCGTCAGTGCACTGGAAGGTGTATTTCCTACGTTTGCTGCGGAGAGGGGTGCAGCAGGCGCCCTGTCCTTCTGCTCCCCCCGGGCAGCTGCCTCGACACTCTAGACGGGAGACCTTCTCCTGGGTTTGGCACGCCGCGTAGCCTTGCTGTCTCTGGTAGACATCTCTGACCCGTTCCCCTCGGCAGGCCACCTCTGCAAAAAGAAAGAGGCATCAGAAAATCAAAAATTTAAAGGGAAACTCCATTTAGCTTGCACAAGAAACAGCTCTAGGTGCTTTATTTATTATAATATATATATATATATATATATATATATATAT